GATACACTCATCAGCAACGTTAATACCCTGCAATCTTCTGTTAGCATGGGCTGCTCTAAGGAAGGTGAGCTTCTGACTGGTGTGCCTTTTAGACATGGGAAGCGTCAGAAAGGAATTATTCTGAGAAGGAATCAAGCTGGGAGGAAAAAAAATAAGGGAAGACTAGGCAAAGTTTGCCTTCCAGAAGAGGAGAGTTGGGGTAGGAGGGGGTGGGGAATGTGCAAAGTCCTACACTTTCTTTAGATTTTATGGCCTGGCTAAATTCCACTCTGGGGATCCAGGGAATCCATGGTTATGCTGATCCCAGTGCTCTTAGGCAGAGCTCATTATTTGGGTAAACTCATCCTTTTACTCCATGCCTGTTTTTCAGTTGTCACTGACTGCCCCACAATGATCAAGGCTGAAGAGTGGATGGCAGCCTCATTCCTATTTATCTCCTATTTTCTAAAGAACTCGTACAGCTTCAAAATATTGTGGGCTTATGTCAGCCCTGACTTCTGACCTATCATAGTTCTTCTTGTAGACATGCTACCTGGTAGCATCTCTTTGCTTTCAACTTCTGCTGACTCTTGCACACTATTTTATATCAAAAACTCAAGTTTTTTTGGACAACTTTAAGTACAGCTTCTGCATAACTGTAGATTCAAGTGACATTTGCAGAATGTAATTAACTATGGGGTGTGGGAACAAGAGGGGGTGTCCTTTGCTAAGATATACTTACCTAAATTGATAAGACCAGAACCATGCTCAGAGTCATATCTGAGATCAATTAGACCTGTTGTATTTTAACAGATATTTTCACCTCTAGATTGATAAAGCAGAGATAACTTTCATATAGTCACTTGCTTGTTGGTGTTTCTTTTTCCTGTCTGGCTCGGCTTTAATACTGCCTTTTCTTCCACTGCCTTCAGTGTAGGTGACCCTTGGCCCAGTGGGGCATTCAGGATAACATTCTTAAGTTAATAGTTGTGCTGAAAGAGAAGTCCTACTCCTCATGTGCCCGGGGGTTCCTGTCACGGGCTCTCTTACAGAGGCTGAAGTAAGAGGTGGTGGCAAAGGAGTGAGTCTGAGGTCAAAGGAACTGGGACATGATGGTTGCCTTTAGCTCTCTGCCTTACTAGTCTTGTTTTTGTGAGAAACCAGCGTGTTTTGTTTGTGGCTGTGTGGAAACTGCAGTGAAGCAGACACTGGCAACTGTAGCATAGCAACAAGGTGCTGGACCTAACCTTTTTTTCTAATGGAGATGGAGAAAGTAGGGAGTGGGTGGAATTTGTACAGGAATGTGCATTGTCCTGGATTTGGGTGGCTAACCTCAGCTGATATGTTCCTGGTAGTCTGTCTTCTGAAGCTCTCTCTGAAGCTCTGGATTTTTCTGTCACTCTGACTTAATTTGCCTTCACGCCACTCTGGTTCTGGGTCTTTTTACATAAGGTGGATTAGGAGGCAATATAGGACACTTGTGGTGACATTTGCAGATGGCAGTTCCTTCAATGTAACATAAAATATGTTGTGAAAGACACAGCTCAAAAAGGAGAAAATAAAATGCTGAGAAAGGTCAGGGACAGCAGATCAGACAGCCCAAGAGTCAAGCTTCTCCTTCTCTGAAAGGAAACCAGAGCAAACGGGTAAATCCAAATTAGCTATCAACCAGCTAGCTGAGGTACTGGAAGTAGTAAAGTCAGGGCCCTCATGGTCTCAGCAGGCTTGGGCAGACTGCCCTGAATCCTCTTTCCATGCACACTTGCTCTTTCTGTAAATCATGGATACCACATGAGGCAGGAAAACTGTTTGCAGCTTGGACACACCCCCAGTCTGGGGAGGGGAAGCTCTTTAGACTATGAAGAAACACTGAAGGGTCGTTTTTGCAGTGGAAACAGAAAATGTCAGAAAATGGATCTGAGCAGTCAGACTTTCCTAGTGCCTTAAAGAACACCAGGCTCCTTGGGCAACTACTCTTTGTTAGTTTTTGGTTCCCTCTTTCAAGTACTGTTCTCTCCAGGCAGCTGCCTTGAAGACGGTGTGTGATCCTGCCTGCCCCTTTAGCGGTTTTACTTCTCATATTGAAAACCTGGAGTGAATCTGTGCTCCTGTATAGGAAGAGGGGTAGAAGGGGAAGACTGTCGTATGTAATCCCAGGTTCCTGGCTCCTTGTGCTTATTGTGACTGTGTAGGGTAGTGTTGGCTGGAAAGGGACAGAGGACTAAACACCTTGTCTTTTGGGCCTCTAAGATAGCTTGGCTGGTTTTACAAATAGAGCTGAAATACAGTTTTGCAGGATGTGTTAATGATGGTTGTCATGGGAATTCTGCTGAAAGAAATATAAAATCAAAGGGCTGCAGGCTGTGATCTACTGTCACTATTTATCTTTGTGTTTGCTGTTTTTTTTTTTTCTTTCCCCCTTGTTCACTGCATTTAAATCGGTCCTCACTTCAACAGCTTTGTCAGGAGCTATATAATTGCAGTCTTTTAAAACAGAAACACTTCACCTTTGAATTATAGTAGCTGTGTATGTGAATGATAAAAACTCACTGATGTCAGCTGATCGCGCTGAGGGCTTTGGGGACCTCTGGTCCAGGATCTTGCACAAATTATTCACAGTTCTATACGTGTGCTTGGCAGCGAGAAAAAAGACTAGAAAAACTTGAGGACTGAACTGCTCCTCCAAAATCCACAGGGTCTTATGGAGGCAGTGCTGAAACACTGCGATGAAGCTGTGAGGAGTACCCTGAATTGCAGATTGGAGCTGTTCCACAATAACTAGATATTTTCACTTTGCAGCACTATTTAAAAAAATCTTTCTGCAGTATTACATTCACTTTTATTGCAAAAGGTATATTAAATGATTTACTAAATCTCCTAAAGCCACAAAATTTAGACAATGTATTGGGGCAAGTGAAAAAAGACATTAGCCTCTTTCATTGGATTCATGCATTACGTTTCAAATATTTGAAATTTTCTTCAAGTGAAAAGCTTTTTTTCTGTGAAAAAGTGGTTACTTTCTCTTTGCCCTGAGCATTTGTTTTTACTGAAATTATTTTGCTACAATTGGACACAGCAAAAAATGCATATATATATGCTAGGCTAACCTGCATAAAACCCAAAAGACATAACAGTTTATTCTTTTAAATATCCTGATTAAATAGGAAATAGGTCAAGGATTTTTAATCTAAGTTTTTGGGGGCTATTTTACAGTACTGCAATGAAATCTGAAGGAAGTTTGAAATGTGTGAGTTAAATAATAGCATGTTTAAAGTCATATTAAAGACAACATTTCAGAGAAAAGAAAATAATTTAGGACTTCTACACACTTAAAATGTTTTAAAATGTCATTTTTATTCCAAGAATGATTTGAAGAGATGACTTCCACATGTTCTGTTTCTAGTGTTTATTTGGAATTACATTTGCTGACTGTAATAATGCTCCTAAGATTTTACTGCTATGATTTGGTTTTCTTTTTTCCTTTCTTTTTTTTTTTTTTTTTTTTTCCCTCCCTTGATAATTATGGAACCACACACTCATCAACCTTCTGCTTTCTTTTACATAAATGACACATCTCAGATGTGTACCAATAGGCTATTTAAAAAAAAAAACAAATCCCACCATTATCCTCTTTCCTTTCACTCGTACATGAAACGAAACATTAGACATTTCTTATAAATGAACAAGTGTGAAATCACTGACAGAATTAATATGAAGCAAGAATGTGTGGAACATAATCTTTTAACAGCTGGAACATGCCAAATACTACATAAAAAAATCTGGAGTTTTCTCTGTTGTAAAAATGGTAATTGCAAACTACTCAAATCAAAGCCTGTAGAACTATCTTCATTATCATTTTAGAGAGTACTCCTCTAATTTAGATACTCATTGGACAGATCAGTGGTTCAAGTCCAAGTTCCATCTCTGCATAGGTGGGAGCACCACAAGTGAGTGTCCCCATACTGGCTTTACAGGGTCCTCATAACTCACTAGTCCAATACGAAATCTGAATGTTCAGAGGTTTTGCAGGCATTGACAGTAGAGACAGTGATTTATCTAATGACATTGCACAGACTTAATCTCAGGAGTGTTTGTGCAGCACCCTAAGCAATTCATAGGGTAGAGTCTAGACCAATGGCTACTGCACCGATAGAGAAAACTGGCTGAATTGTGACTGCATTCATAGCATGTAAGGCCAACCCACCCCACACCTTTGTCACCCACTCACACACCTGATAGCCTGCTAACTCAAGCCACAAATTATTGTTATGTGGATGAGAAGTTATCTGGGTATAATCCTTCAAACAGGATCTTTGGGATGTCTTTTTTTTTTTTTTTTTTTTTTAAAATAGGGTTTATTCATTCATACTGCAGAGAAACAACTAGCATTGTATACGTTTCTCATCCAGCCATATGTTTAATAATGGCTTTGATACCTCATGAACTGCTTTTTTGAGCTTGGTCTCTGGTGTTCTTAGACTGGTCTTGGGAACCAAACAGGAACTTCTATGTTCTCACTGTACCTGGTCTAGTAAGTGACCACTCTTTTTGGTACAAATGCAAATACAGGATTTTGTAGGACATGCTATCTTTAGTTCAATGCAGCCCATCAACAGAGCTCATCGTTTAATCACCCCTACTCATTTACTCATCCCTATATACTTAGTGTGCTATAGATGTGGGATGGAAATACTGCATTAAGGTCTAATTGGTTGAAATATGCATTTAAAAATAAAAGACATTTAAAAGATCTTGTCAATTTTTTTCTTTCACTAATTGTTATTTCATCTCAATGAGTTTAGTCTCACTAAATTGTGACCTGTGGAATGGAAACAAAAGGCCCTCAAGCCAGGATCTAAAGAAGTTTGACAGATAAAATATTATCAGAGAAAGTTAAAAACCCACAACAGCAAATAAGCACTTTTTGATATAAATGAAGCCATGTTGCAAAATCAAAGTTTTTTCAGCCCAGGTGCTGATAAACATCATTGCTTCTTCTGTACTGAAAGAAAATAACAAAAATAAAAATTAAAAAAATGTTCTTCCATTGCTGATTTTTTTTTTTTTCCTCCCCCCTGGAGCAGGCAAAACCATTTATTGGGGAAGATGCAAAATATTAACCTCTCATATTCAGATGTTGTACATATAAACTGCAAAAATGATGGTTATGCCGTGATTTATTGCAACCAAGGATATGATGGTTATGAAGAGGTGCAGGGAAGCCACCCACTGAAATATCTATTCTGTATCATATTTCAGTTCTCAGAGATTCATACTTCCAAGCATTACAGCTCAAAGACTTGTCTTGATGAACGTCTTTTTATAGTGTCTTCATATTTATGCATAATGTGACTTGAGATGCTGTCAGTCATCTTCGTTTATCCTCTGTCTTTGAAATTGTTCTGTATATTTTACCTGCTTTAACTCAGTGTACATTTTCAGAATTTTAATGTGCTCAAGGATAAGGGCTGGGAGCAGCAAAAACGTGATTCAAGAATCAACACGTTCCGTATTTTGGAAAGTACAGTTTTTCCTGACATTGTGCTACAGACTGTCTACATTCTTGCGCCTTGTAGGAGGAGTCCTGTCTAATTGCAGCTGATTTGAGTTAATGTAGATAGATGTAGTAAAGGAAGATGTCTCAGCTGCAGGCAGCAACAGCAGCATTTGAAGCTAACTGGTAACTTCAATTTTGATGGAGCCATTCTGATAGAGTGCAGCTGATCTGGAACAGAGGTGCCAATGGTACTAAACCCTCTCCAATCCAGAAAGGGGTGCCTGCATCTAAGCAGAGTAATTGAAAGTCTACCTGGCTTTTGCTATCTACTGAACCATGCACGCAAATTTCTGTGGGGAATGATAGCTGAGTAGCCAAAGCCATCTGAGGCTGGTTCATAGTCTTTAACAACAGTGTTCAGTTGTGGGGGATCATCCCCTTGCACCATTTCACCTCCTGGTGTGGGAGCAGCCAGTACTACCTCTGCCTTGCTCACATACAGGAGTACATGGTGACTCTATGAAATGGTCCATGTTACAGTTACACAGGGGGCAGTCCTTCTGTCTCTCTCTTGGATCATTTTGGGACACTTTTAAATTCCTATTGCTATAAACAAGTATTGTTCAAATATGCATAAATCATGATATATGTTGCTACTATGCATCTGTGTAACACACGTGCATGCTGTATAATGGAACAAATGTTCCTTTGAGACTGTAGGTAACATCCAGGCCTGGATAGATTATATAACCCTTATTTGTACTCTCTTCTGTCATATGTCTCTTTTGAGGGACTTTTTTAGTGCCGAGGTTCAGTAACTTCATTTTCTGTAGTCTGCACAAAGTGTGGCTGGTGTCTTTGTTGTAGGAAGTTATGTGATCGCTGATGGCTGCAAAGGGACTGGGTTCTTCCACATCCCCCATAATTTTAGTCTTGGTTTGATCCAAATCTAATTTTTGCCCTAGACAGTTTCAGACTCTGGACTATACTTACAACATAATCCTGAATCTTAGATACAGGTGCACTGATACAAATACTTTGAGATGACGAGGAAGGGAGAGTTTCTCTTGGCACTGTTGTGGGAGTTGAGGAGCCTTCCTCCTTTGGTTGCTTTGATATTTGGAAGTTTACAATGAACCCTATACTCTGCTCTCAGACAGGAAGAGTGGCTTTCTAGCATTCAGCATGTGCACAAATAGTAGCTGGTATAGAAATATTTATCATTCCCAAATATCAGCCATAACATCGTGTGTTAATCTGTCCCCATGGTGATAAGCATATATTTTCGCACTATAAAAAGCTTTCAAAAACAAGCACTGGCATCTTAAATGTCTTTAAGCATGGGAGTCTGGCAGTTTTTCAACTGGATGATGTGGTGATTTTTTTATATATTTTTTTATTTCAGGCTGAAAAAGCAGAAGGATTTATTAGACTTCCAGACTTCAGCGTGGATCGAGCAATTGAATGTAAAAAAAAGCAGTAAGTTTCTTTCTTGTCCCAGTTTTGCTGATTTTTACAACATTACAAGGAACTGAATCTCAGTAGTGCCTGACAGTGAAGCTGCTAGGAGCTTTTCTGTGTTGTATAAATAATGAGATATTAATTGAGCTACTGAAAGAAATCCATATTGCAAAAATATTTCTGACAATTCTCTGCCAGATGTGGTCTGCTAAAACTACAAATAAGAAAAAAAGTAGATCAGTATGCCAAATGTTTGGGTTTGGTTTTTTTTTTCCCCCTCCTTTGTTTGGTGATTGAGAGTCTATCTTAGATACCTCCTCTTAAGTGTGGAGGTCAGTAGTGGTGCAAGTAATGCTGCTTCCCTCCAAGTCAGGAATAGTCTTTAGGCTGCTGTGATGAAACTGATTCTTGGGCTTTACTTGAAGCCTCTGATTGCAGAGGGAATAAAAACTTTATTTAGCAGGGTACACATTTCAAAATATTCTTTTCAAACTGCATATGCAGCGCTGACTTCCAGCTGCTTCTGAGTATACTTCAAAGGTTTAGAGGGATGTTGCTGCTGTTCAAAGTTATAAGGCTCAGCATGGTTTTTATCCTGTCCCTCAAGAGAAAGCCTTCGTTCTTCTGCTCTGGTCTCACACTGACATTAGCTGAAGGTGTTCTTGAGACTGTGGGCTTCAATCCTCTAAAGAAAGAGAATAGCTATTTTGAATATGGGGAGCTCCATTTTGTTTTCTCGGGGGAAATGTTGAGTTGCACAGTACAGGACCACAAGAAAATGTTGCCCTTCATTCTGCAGCTGTTGGCTGTCAGTGACTGGAAGGAAAACGTGTTCATCGCTTATTTGGGACAGGGTAAATTAGAAGAACTGAGAGGATTGACTGTGGGGCTGCTGTGGCCCAGTCAAATGAGGTGTGCTTCCATGGGAGAAAGTCACCTGACAAGGAACAAAAGAGGGAAACCACACAGTCTCAAGACTGGAGACTATGTTTTAGGAAAAAAAAAAAAAAAAAAAAAAAAAAGACTCTGAAAGGTCTTACTAGTGGATATTCAACTAAGCAGTCTGGGGCTGAGACTGTTAACTATTCCAGGTAGTCCATTTTTTTTTGATTTGAACCTGCCACCCACACAAAGTTGTGTGTTTGATGCATCCTAAAACTTGTCTTGGAAAAGCCAGAGAAGAGTCAGTCCCTATCTCCTCACTGCATGCTGCTTGTGATTTTATTGTATCATATCTCCCTTCCCTCAACTAACAATTTTCCATGCTGTGGGATCTTAGCCTGATTAGTCACCCATGGAAACTGTACTATAACTTGGTCTGAGCTAAAGGAAGCAACTGCACACAGTATTCAAGATGTGGGCACACAACTGAGTTATGTAATGACATATTGAAGGTCTTTGCTTTATTCTCCATTCCTTCCTTTTTAGTTCCTGTAGTTTATATCCTCTGACTAATAAGTAGCCTAGGAAATGAGCTAAAAATAGACTAGAATTTTAAGGAAAGAGCTGTATGAATGGATAAGCTGATATAGACTAATATGGTGGAGTGAATAAATATTTCTAAATAATCAGATTTTTTTTTTTTCTTTTCTTATGTAAATTAGATTTCTTCATCTCTCTTCTATTTTTCTTTTCCTAAAGCGCTATTAAGATCAGCCACCCACATATCAAGACGTTTTATTTTGCAGCAGAAAATGTTCTGGAAATGAACACGTAAGTAAGAGCAACTGGCTATGTTTCATCCTGTCTCACGCCTAAGAACACCCTTTGAAAGTTCATTCTCTCACTGTCAAGTGGTTGTTGACAATGTTATTTGGGCAATAACTGAGTCTGTTTTGTTTTCTGGTCACTGTATAGAAGCAAAATACTGCTATTTGTTCACTAATGACAGTTGAAATCAGAACCACACTATTAGCCTGATTTCGATTCTAATCTTCCCAATGTTTTCTGGCAGCAAGTTCATCACCTTGGAGAAGCGAGGGAAGAAAGGAAAGAGGGGGGAAAAGCTTAATATAGTTTTGTCCCAGAAATGATCTGAGACTGGAATGTAATTATGTCTGCTTTCAGAGTAATATGTCAGTTAGCAAGGAGGGTTCAATGGGTAGAAAGGGCAGTCTCCTGAATGTAAGCAAACATTTACTTCAGTGCCAAGTTATGTTGCAGTTAAATGATCCTCATGACAGATCAGAAACTTTCTTTCAACAAATGTCCATAAGAACAACTCATTCATGCAGTTTTTAATGTAAGAAATAATAATGGATATGAATACTGCCATTTTAGAAACTACCAAGCTGTCAGAAATAAAAACTATTTGCTATTGATCCAGCTTTGGCTGATTTAGATACATCTCATATCTGTCTTTTTCTTAGTCTGTTCACAATGTTACTGCATTAAATGGATACATAGCAGTATATAATACTGGATATACCACAGTACAGCAGAGGTCCTATGATAGGTCAGGATTTTAATCATGGCTCCGCTGGTGATCCTTGTGAGATTCTTCATAGGGCATTGACTGTTCTTTCCTTCTATAAACAAGAGATCTCATACACATGTACCACAACAGAAAAGGACAGAGGTTGAGAGAATGTATGTGACCTTCCAAAAGGACTATAGATGCAGAAATGTAGGATACTACAGTAGTGTAGGTACATAGATATTTGTTCATAAGTCTATATTCTATAGATGCATACAAATAAATATCAATGGAAAGAATATATTGCCCTTTGCAACTTGGAACAGCACAGAGATAACTATACGGTTCTGTACCCGTGCATTTTCTACTGGAGCTTGTGAATGGACTGAGAAGATCTTGAGGCAGATTGGCTGAGAATGAGGGACTGCTGGACAGGAATATTTATGTAGAGTGGATAACCCTGCCTGAGGAAGAAGAGAGAGAAAGATGTAGAGCTAATGGAGGACATTATTAAGTGATAACAGCCAGTTTGGAGCTCAGATGGAAATTTTTAGTATCTTAATGACACTTTTGAAATGTTTAGCCTCTACAGGTGTCCCAGCTCTCATGGCCCCAAAATGATTTTGTTCAAACTCCAGTTCTCAAGTAATTTCCAGTTTGGCTTAAAGCTAGGTAGCCCAGCCTTAAAGCAGCTTGCACTATACTGTACAAATACTAATTCCTCACTATTGTAACTGATGGTATTTTCCTTGGCAAAGTATAAAATGCATGCATTTAATACATAAAGTACACGCATACTCACGTATATGTCAAAACAGACTAAAAGACATCTGTTCTTTTGGCTCTAGTCCCACAAATACATATGCATGTGAGTGGTTCCACTGAACTCACTGAGGCATTTGTGTGCGTCGAGTTACTGGTGCGCATAAATGCTCGATGGATCATGACCTTTTGTAACTCTTCATGCATATTTATTTATTAAATCAACAGTGAATCTGCTAATACAGCCATTTGTTTCATTAATTTAGCATGTATTTGCCAGTGTCGTGCACGCAGGAAAAGTAAAGCAGTGCTGGCTAGATGTGCGTATTTACCTGGTTATTAGTGATCTGTCTGACCTTGTGGTTAATGAAGTCCTGGATTTTTAGTTTTTCTTCTGTTCGTCTAGAAACTTCTGTTAGTCTTTTTGTTTTTTAAATTAAAAGAATAATTCTGTCATCCTTAACAGTTAGAAGAAAATGAATAATCTACTCTTACAAAATGAAACTTTACTTTCTTGAATTGTTATGTGGCTGTGTTGTTCATCCTGCAGTATAAAAATCCAGTTACTTTAACACAGATCTTGCTAGCAAACTTCCCATTGTTTCAGTAGTATCAAGATCAGACGCAATGTTTTTTCAGAGTTATGAATCTTAATTCCTGACCTTCATAAATTCATTATCCAGGCCTTGAGTTAATGTGAAAAGCCTGAGGTTGTTAGTTGTTAGTTTCTTATCATCTGGGTAGATCTGAATGACCTACAGACAAGCACAACAGAAAAACAGTGTACCTAGGGATTGTTTCCAGCACTAGAAAAATGCAGCTAACTAGTAAGAGAAATAGAAAAAAACCCAACCTGTTAAGCTTAAAGCAACACAGGAAGTGAGACTTATTGAAAACAAAAGTATATAGAGAGTTGAAGAAAGCAGTATATAATGGTCAGAAAGTCTGGTTTTAAATGACTTAGATTCTTAGACTGTGATGTGGTAGCTTTGGCCAGGGCTGATGTCATCTTCTATGGCTCCTATGCCTTTTGCTTTATCTCAGGTACAAGATGACACCTCAACAGCAGGACTAAGCCACTGAGATGGTGTTATAGGATATGTACTTTTCCTTTAGCTTCTATGAATGCAATTCCTTGGTCATCAGTAGTGCTTTCGTTTCAGGATCAGGGAAAGATGATGTCCCAATCAACTAGTTCCGCTCACCACAGGGAATATTAGTATGCAGGTAACCGGTACCTTTCTAGAAGATGACTTAAGAAATAGAAAGAAATCAACATTTAGTTTTCAGGTTAATGAAAATAGATGTTGTGATGTAGAACACATCTGAAAAGAGCAAAACTCTGTCCAAGCAGCATGCAAGTATCCCTAATTCTCTCTTTCCTCTCTTTCAAACATAGGTGGCTAAGTAAGCTGGGGATGGCTGTGGACCCTCAGGCACCCAATGGAAAGAATGAGGAAGGTATGCTCCTAAAGGCACTTTAGTGTGTAACTGCATTCACATTCTTTAGACTTCTTGCTTGGCCAAATTTTTGCCAGCTCTTTTCTTCATTTATATTTTTAATTTGGGTCCATCTACTGACTGAGCTCAGAGAAATCACAACAAGACAGCACAGAATAATCACAGAAAAAGAAACAATAATGAGAAACTGTGCCACTGGAAGACATTTGGTGATCTTGTGAGAGATGTGTAACTACTTTCTGGCAGTTTACTGGCTTGCTAAGCATAGCAAGTGTGAAGAGAAACTGCTGCACTATTCTGGCTTTTGAGCACCAAAGGTGTGTTACAGGAGTTGTGCTACAGGCTGGGAGCTTGCCAGCTTGGAAACCTCTTGTGCAATGTACCACCAGTGCCCCTAGTGTCTTCACCATTCCTGGGAGTTTCAACATCAGCAGTGTTGCAAGAGTGGTAGTGGTGTGCTGAAGCCTACAATTTCCTTCACGGCCAAGCCCAAGAACATGTTGTGGAATGTGTAATTTTAAAAGTTCCTTAGCAATTTATTTATTATTTTAGTTTGCACATTGCCCTAACAGAACTCTTTGGTGAAAGGATACCTGCACTTGAATCACAGTTCTGGGCAGAGGACAAAGCAAGTCATTTGTCACAGCACTTAGAAGAGCTTCTGGTGAGGATATGTGTGATGGGAGCTGGTTTACAAGGAGAAGCACTGTAGGTACTATTCTCTCTAGCAAACCAGAAATAGACTCTGATGTGAGGGATATGTATCTTCTACTGGGCTTTTGATCCTCCATTTTTAGAGTACTGGTACCCAGTGCCTTTTTTAGAACTGCTCAGGCTGTGAAGGAGCTGGCATTATGAAGAAGAAGCTGTTATTTGTAGCATTATGAACACTTAGGTGATACAGCCCATTTTGTCAAAGCACTGAAACGCTCCTTTCTGCATCCCTTTTGCTGTTTCCCAAAATAAGGCTGTGCTTTATGTCCAGGCTTTGGACATGTAATGCCATTATTGATTAATCTGATCTGGTTCTGTTTATACTCTGGCTCCATTTGTGCTCTGCCACTAAAAGTAGGTTTGGGGCGGGTAAACAGATGCCACTGATTTCTGGAGATTCAGCAGGTGTCATCAGTTTCTTTGGGGTTAGTTCATGGTTCCTCTTTATTTTGTGTCAGGAATCTTGTTAGTTTTCATATCTCCAAGTTCCTCCAAAATGCCTGTGTCCTCTTTGAACCCAATTTTGGATCAAAACAGCTTGAGATAATTAGGAGAAAGGGCTATATTGAGTATTAGGATGTGTAGCAAGAAGTTCACGGTAATTGTACTCAGGAAGGAAGTGTCCATACATTTTGTCCCTTTTTTCACAAAAGAGAAGTCTGATAGAACATGAGAATGGTCAAAATTCTTTCAATTGACAGCAAATTATTTTTCCTTCTACAGCCTTGAAAAAATGTACTATAGGTTGTGTTGTTTGAGTTGAGAATTATAAAACAATGCAAAACGAGTCAGCTGACTAATCTTAATTTTTAATAATGGCTTAAAGATACAAAATAATTCACTCAATAACCTCTGCAGCTCGTTACCTAATAATTATCCTGCAATAAACAACACAGCCAAGATTTCATCAGTTTTTGAAGCTGGTGGCCTGTTTCCCCTCCAGAAAAAGGCATTCTCATTCTGGTGTCAAACACCACCTCATCTTTCCGTGTGTGGTTTGTCACAGGTGCTCCAGCAGCTGCCATGAGCATGGGTTCAGCACCCTACTTATGTGCCTGGGTGGACGAGCCCTTGCAGAAACATAGCTATGTTTCAGAAAAATGCTGTCATTACCCACAGTCACTTCTGTTCTTGCTGACCTAGTTCTCCCCTCTGTATCACACACCATAAATCTTCAGGAGAGTCTTGGCACTTGTTATGGCAGTTCTTGTATATTCATGTACTTTCTATGCATTTTAAGACTCCCCAGCCCCTTTTAGAGTATCAGAAACAGCTGTTGATTCTTTTTCAGTTCTTCTGTGTGCCTAAAAGGGGAGCTGTAGAAACAATAAACCCTTTACTAAAAGTTATTCAAGAAGGCATTAACAGAGCCTTAGAATTTGATATAGGCCTTATTGCAGGCAGTCTTAATCCTTTACGCTGAGATGTGCCAGCACATATTTCCAGTAAACAGAATAGTAGCTATGCTATTAAAACCCCTATAATTCTGCAAACAGTATGGGGAGAAAAAAGTAATCTTTCTAAGTTTCACTTTGTTAACATCTTAGAAACCTCTCTCTCTTGTGTATAAAGTTTCTCTTAAAATTCTGTTCTGCTCACACTGTGGGTACTAAACACACACACACACACACACACCCCTCCCTCAACCCCCCAATGACATGCACAAAAAGAAAGTGTGCAAAGGTGATTTCCCAGAGACAGTGCTAACACACTAGTGAACCCATAAAGTTCAGCTCTGACAAAGTACTCCTAGAACACAAACAGCTTGGAGAGAGAGCTGGACGGTTGCTTCCACCAGAGAGACCCAACTGCTCTTGGACGGCACAAGCTGGTTCATGCAGCTGGTGGAGGGAAAGGCAGTACAGAGTGCTGGCTCCTGCAGGAGCTACAGGGGCAGCCTCTGCTCTTGTGACACTCAGCACTCACTCGTGTTGTCCTCGTTAAGCTCCATCTACGTCTTTGCAACCTTTCGTGTCCTCAGATCAGTCAGGGTGGGGTGGGGGGGTGAGCACCACCACCTTTCACACATGGTGCAGGGCAGGATCAGAGTACTTGCTCCTATAAAGGCTGGATGTAAAAGGGTGACGTGTTCTTGGAGATTTAGTAGAGGGAAGTGACCTTACCCAGTGATTACTGCTAGGCCCTGGAAATAGGAACCAGCAACTTACTGCCTTCCCTTTTCATGTCTTATTTTATCAATGGCTATCACTTCATGTAATCCACTTTTTAAAAGCATCTGAGAAAGTGTTTTCGCCTGCCACACAGATAGTTGAAAGAAATAATAACATGACTGCTTTTGCCACAAGTCAAGAGATACTGAAGCTCTATCAGTTTTTTCTTTAAAAAAAAAACAAAACCAAAAACGTCTGAAGACCTAGAGTGCTGTCTTTAAATGGTAGCTCTGCACATGTGCTGGCATGCCACATGATGTGCTTACATGAGTTACTGTGTGATGACAGAAGACTCTCATGAGGCTGCTCTATCTATGGTCTCCAGAGCACCATGCCAAGCAACCCGTTTTCTCCAAAACTGCAGCCAAAACACTAATGCCTGTTGTTACTCATTACAGAGATTAAGGGACAGCTTCTGCTACTTGCAGCAGGTCTCCCTAACTTATGCTACAAATGATGTAGCTTTCCTTTTAAAGGCTGAAAAGGGAGGGAAAAAGCTTCACGCCAAAACTATCTATCTGCAGCCCTATCTGGAGCAGAGCCATGTAGTGCTTGCCATAGCAACTTAGCAATTTTTTTTTACCTAAAATGTTGCCATGAAGTAGTGTAGCATTACCATAAGAGGGTTAATTTTCACCATAGGAGGCATTGACTGTTTACAGCGTGGGCCTCAGCCCAGAACGTTCTACTTGGTGATCTCTGATTATCACAGTGCTGCAAGGAATACATCACTGTTGGCCTAACACTTTGGTTTTGTTTGTTTTCCATGTCTGCTTCAGAATGCTACAGTGAGAGTGAGCACGATGATCCAGAAATAACAGACACGCCACCTCCCCCTTACGCAGTCCAGCCACCACCTCCTTCTTCTTTGGTAAGGGGTACAGTAATTACCTTGTTTCCTGTTGCTAGCCAGTTGGAACAGAACTTTCATGAGGTGGTGGACCTTTGAGCAATAACCTAAACAGGCTGGAAATGTTAACCCTGTGTGCTTGAGAAATAAGGGTGCACTGACAGCCTCTGCCCCGTGGCAGAGCAAGCAGTTATTGCAGCCTGAAGTGCCTGGAGCCTCGTGTTGTGGAAGAACAGGTCCTTTGGATGGAGGCACTCTATGCTCTGTCTTTAATTTACAAGGTTTTTAACATGCTGCTATAACCTACTTTTGTATACTATTCTCTTTTTTTTAAACAATTCTAGATTTTCTTTCTTTTTGTGACGTCATCCAACAGATTTGTATTTATTTATTTGAGTGAATAGTTCTTAAGACTGCTGAATTTGAAGTTGCTTTTGTGACAGTGAAGGAAAGTGAATGAAAAGAGGCCTCTTCTTATAGTGATAAAATTCTTCCGTCTACCTCTGAAAAACAGATTATAAAAAAGAATATAGGCATCCTCCTAAAATCTATGCTACTTTTCTCTCTTGCTGTAACATATTTGCCTGGAATATTCCTTCCTGTCTTGCTTTATTTCATAAATTAGAATAAGCACTATGCACCTTCATGTGTCTAATTGAAATGACTTGCCTAATTATTAGCCATTTATTACTCTATTAATCTTGTCTATATTGTTGCTTTTCCCAGTGATCTCATATCCCCTTACCTGTGCTTTAAGATCTGAGGTTTACTTAACTCTGTGATTAGAAATGAGTAATCTCATTTGGAATGGTAATACAGTTGACACAAGGAATCCTGAGTTCAAATCCTTCCTTTCCCCAGCTGCCAATTAACTTTGAGGGGTATGCAGTAATATACTCAGTACTAAATCATCTCATTACATCTCATGGAAAGGAAGTGTCTGCTGCCTGATTGATGGGGTACAGATTCCTGTACAGCATGCTGAAATGACATCCAGTAGCTGGGGTGGGCACAGAGGTAGTAAAACAGGAACAAATTTGAAATATGCAGATGAGCCAGAGAAGCTTGCACGGCCACAGGCAATAACAAAGAGAAGGCATGCAGAGGGTTGCCTGTCTATCAATCTTTAATTATCTTGCATAAAGGTGGGAGCATAGGTCACCTGTGTGCCCCCTTTGCTTCAGTCAGATAAGGCAGTCTTCACTGCCTCTCCTGAGACAGTTGTGTAAAACCATCCACCTGGCAGCTGGGGGGTGCGTGGGGTCCAATGCTGCGTAATCCATGATTCTTTATTGCCTGTATCAGCTGGAAGTTAATCGTGGCTGAGTGGCTATAAATATTGAAAAAAAAAAAAAAAGAATCTTGGTAGTATGTCTCCAAGAGTTTTTCTGGGCTAAGGGCTGCTAATGAAGCATTTTGAACTTTATGTCTCTGTGGTTTGCCTTTAAGAGGCTGTAGATGCCTTTTCCATCTGCTCACCTCTGAGCGAATGCCTGCATTTTTCCAGATGATGAGTTTTAAAGAGATGCTGGTTTTGGGTTTTCTGGTTTTTTTTTTGCTTCCTGCTGCTTGTCAGTCTGTTGCTGCAGAGGTGATCTCCAGTTGACTCCTTCCTACACGCTATTCTTGTGTGCTGGCCTCCAAGTTTTATCAGGGTATGCACAGGAGGCAGGCAGTGGTGCAGGTGCTGAAGGGTCCTGCTTCCTCAGCCTTTATCTTCCCTTCAGCCCTTACCTCTCTCAGTTGATTTCCCTTCTCCTCATCTCCAGCTTAAAAATCCCTTCCCCCACAGAAGCAGGTTAGTGTCTCCTGAGCAAGGTTATTATTTTTTTCACCCCAGCAGTGGCCACTGGAATAAGCTCCAGGTGCCATGGGTCTACCCTATGCTCAGCTTGCTTAAATGGTGGGGAGGAACAGTTAGGTACCAAAGCAGCTGTGTTTGACTACAAGTCATAGAATCATGTCAGTGTTTTCTTTTAAATAACTGATTTAATGCCCCTTTCCCTTCTGGACAAGTGCTGGAGCAAGAAAACTGGAAGGATTGAGAAAGCACAGCTTCTACTGGAAAGTCAGTTCTAGGAGTAGAGCTCTTGATTATCTCAAGGAAAGGCAGTTAAACATTACTTGCTGTCTATTTATGCGCTGCAGAGTTTTTAAACCAAACTGTGAGGTCCCAAACAAGTGATGGATTTGATCTGATTCTCTGTGGATACACCACTTTTAGAAGACCTGTTTGAATCTTTCCAGATTGCTACTAGAAGAGACACTCATCCCTGAAACACAGCCCAGCATTAAGAATGCCACAGGCATTGACTAGTGTTCATTTATTTGTTTTATTTTTATCTTTTTTTTTTTTTTTTTTTAAAAAAAAAAGTTGCACTTCTTCCTCCAGAATCCCAAAGTGATTTTGCAAAATAGAAGTTAGGAGCTATTGACATTTTGGAAGATCAAACCAGTGCTGTCTGAAGCAGACAGGCTTCCAAGCTTCTTGAGATCAACTCCAGACTGAAAGGTATTAGTCTGGAAAGCAACAGCCACCCAGGTGCAGGTTCTGCTGTGTGTTAGCAAATATTTTGCTGTACTTCTAGCTCAACGTTTTTACTTGCTGTTCTGTTCTCTGTTGACTCAAACCATTTTTAAATTTGTAAAATATAAAGCTTATAATCATTACTTTTTTATGTTTCTGCATGCTTTTGGCTACTGTGGAAGATAAAAGCAAGAGAGGAACAAGTAAATTTTAACATCTGTAGGACAAAAGTTAAACTGACCATCTGCATTAATTTATCCACATGTGAATGGATTTACAGTTTAAAAAAAGAGCAGCTATGTTGAGATAACAGATTGCAGCAGTCCCAAAAGAGCTGTTGAGGTGTTTCATGGCGATAATTTTTCTCAAAAAAATGCCTGGAGACTCACTGATCTCCAGTGGAATCCTTATGATCTGCTGGCTCAAGCATCTGTTTTTTAAAATAGCCCCAAATGGAGTATTATTACTATATGGATGATTGCAAAACTTCCAAAGGAACCACTCGAGTAAGTTAGGTAAACGTTTGTCGTGCCAGAGGAAAAAAAGCCACAACACATATGTAGAGAAAAAGAAACACATTCTGGCTGTCATCTTTATTCTCACCCACATTTTTTTTGTATTTAACACACAATGAAAATGAAAACAAAAATATATTCCACTCACTGAGGCACAGTTTTTATATCACTGGCGCTTTCTTTTGCATGGAGAAATGCCAGAAAAATAGATGTGAGATCTAGCATCTTGCTTTTCTGTCTTAGAATAATTGAACTTAGACCATCCACTCCATGTGAGCAAGAGCTTTTACTGTTCAGTTGTTCTCCTTAGATGTACAAAAGCTTCAACAATTTGTCCTTGCAAAAGGAGCTCTTAAATGAAATGCTTCAGGTCCCCTGTGTTTCCAAGGGCATTTTGTCACTCATCCATGTATTTTATGACAGCTTCTCCTTGTCTTTTACTTGTGGATGCATTTGTGAAGGTTTCCTTTTTAAAAAGAAAAACACACCTAAACCACAATGTTGTACTTCTCATAACAGGAATATAAATTAAGTCTGGTCCTGCAGTGTTTGGTACAGTCTTGGAGGAACGGCTTTGAAAATTTACAGAAATGAAGAAAGTGCTATAAACACAAGGAGACCCAAAACATGATATTGGTCATCTTTGCCTTCTGATTTGTTTAGCAACTGCATGATAAAGCTAGGTTAGAAGCACAGGAAGGCAAATCAGCTTGCTTTTTTTTTTTTTTTAATTAAATTTAATGTAAAAAGGAAGTAGAATACTTTACAGCAACACTGAATTGCACAAGTCTATACATCATAAATTAAAAAATTGTCACTCTTGGTTTGGTTTATATGCACATATCTTATTTCTAGTTTACAAGGTTATAAGTAAGTATCCCAGGCTAGTCCTCTTTTTGTTATTGCAGCTTGTCCAGGTTTCCCTAGCAACACTTTCTTGGTAATTTTCAATACTTCTAGTCTAGTTATGTTCTGTTTTAATCCTTACACAGATCTATTCTACATATGTATTGAGAACATAAGCTTGCCAGAATTCTGGTCCATCAAGTCTGGTATTGGTCAGTAGTAGATGATTTGTAGAAGGAGTAAATATCTGCAGTAGCAGATGCAATATATCTGGCTTTCATATCATGATGATAACATGATTTCTGGTAGTTTCTGTGAAGAGCTTCACTGTAAGGCTTTGTCTACCCTTTCTTCCATTACGTTATTTATTACTGTCTATTGATCCTCTTCCTGGGTATTTTTCTGCATATTTGTGTATTTGTGTATGTAATACTTGCATATTTGACTCTCTTGGCTCATCTTTTCAGAGTTGTTTGGTGACTAAGAAGCAGACTAGTGCTCGTTCTCCTTGCTCGAGTTGCTTTTGATGACAAGTTAATAGTACAACTCAATCAATGTAAATGCCTATTGTAGAAAAAGATTCGAGCATCTTTTTCCTTGTCTAGGAAGCTAAATACTTCTCAAAACTTTATTCTTTCTCTCAGCTTTTCTTCATGTGAAATTTTGCATCTGTCATATCCTCTCTCACTCAACTCCTAGCTCCTAATGATGACTGTTAGATGTCTCCAACATCTTTCTGGTTGTATGCTCTTTTGTTGAGATAGGGTGACAAGTACAGTAGGGAGACCCTTAGGAAGTCTTTATGATTGCATGTGTTCCTAGTGAAGTTTGGGTCCCTTTTCAGATTCATGTGCTGAAGGATGAATCTTAGGAGGTGAACGAGCCACAGAAATCTTGTACCATACTCCTTTTCCTGCCCTTTGCCCCATGACAGTCTTTTTTTCCATTCCATCATTAACTTGCCTTCATATTACCCATCAGCCACCTTGCCTTGGTGAATGATCAATGCCTTGAATGGACCAGGTAAAAGGGTTTTGTGTGCTGAGAAGATCAAGGAACTTCAGTGCTTGAGCCTGTTTCTGTCTATCCATGGTTATGGCATTGGTGGATTTACTGAATGCTTCAAGACAATTTCATAATCAATGGCTATTTCAGAGTTTCTCTTCTGCACTCTTGATTAGACCCATAAAGTCAGGATAAAGTAAAGAGTGAACATCAGTGTGAGACCTGCAATGGAAGATTATGTTCAACACAGTATTTTTCCTTGGTCTTTTGCTTCTAGGCACTGTCAATTTTTTTTGTCTGGTTTACCCCTGGATTCATTGTGGCTTAGTTTCTGAAGTTACTGCTCTGTAGGAGATTTGCTGCCATATATTTTCTACCACAATTAATCAGATCACATGAAATTTTTTCATTTTGCATTTCAGCTGCATATCTATAACATGTAGAATATAGAAACAGGAATAACTTGGAAATAATTAATTTTTCTTTTTTTTCTCCCCTCCCCCCCCCTTTTTTTTTTCCTGGAAAGCAGGATCAGCAGAAGTCTTCTTTCACCTCGACTCTGTCAAGTGAAGCATCTTGTTCCCTCTCATCTCCTGAAAGCACTTTCAATTCCCAAGAATCATCTTCTTCCTTGATGTCCAAAGTGGTTTATTCTGAGAGGCAGTCTTGGCTTGACCTAGTTAACAGCTCTGCCACAGAAGAGGGTGATCAGCCATTAACTTTCTGTGTCCAGATTCACTCTGATGAGCCACCAGAAATAGACTGTGGAGAAGAGGCAGAAAGCCAAGAGGTCCATCTTTCCAAAGCCAGTGGTGGATCCCAAAACTCTTTTTTAGCTCCAGATACACATTGTCTAGCTGTGCCAGACGCAACAGGACAGAGATCACTAGCCAAAGGTGAGCTAATGAGAGAGGAGATTTTTTTTTTTTTTTTTTTTGTCTTCAGAGGCATACAGTGTGGGAGTTCAGGAGTTTTCCTCAACTTCCTTTCCCCTTCTATTCTTTATGTTCTTTGCTGAAGAGTTTTCCAGTGGCACATAATTTATATCAGACATTTGGTTTAGTGCACTTTCGATATATAAACCAGTATCTGATTGGTAAACAGCTTTACATCTTTTCTCAAATTTTACCTATGTGTTAAGATCATAGTCTCCGTATAAAATCCTAACTTAGACATTTTTTTATTAGCTTTCTTTATTTCAGTACAGTTGTCTTTTATTAGTTAGGATCAAATCAAAATTTTAAGAAAGCGTGTCACAGAACTGACACCCTAAGCAAAATGGAATATAGGAAGTAGTGAACATGGGGTTAGGTTAATCCAATTTTAAAAATAAAAGCAGTTGTGTTTACTTCCAGTACACATTCCCTATTTCTTTCACTGATCTTCATTGTAATCAAGGGGAAGCAACTGCAGTCCTGAATTGGAAAGTCCATTAAGGCTGGTTTTTGTTGAAGCAAATAGGTATCTGCACAGGTATCCTCCTACTGAAATGCATTCCCAAATTAAAAAGGTGGTATAGTTCCAGAATTTGTTCATTGGTGCTATTCATAACTCTCCTGCTGTAGTGAGGCAACATTTCTCACCTTTTGAGCAAAGCCACTTCTTCCTGCATTAAAAACTGTCAAAGTATAAGGGGCATTTCTGGCATACAATATGCTGAAATGAGAAGATACTCAGCATGCTGCCTAGAAAGACAATGCATGAGGAAGCAACAGTGTTCTTGTCCATCAGCTCTACCCATGATTCCAAATCCTTGCAAGGATTTGAAGCAAGTACTTTGCTAAAAGAACAGTGTTGTCTCAGTATGGTGAGAAAGAAAGGTGCATCCAAAAGCTTAGGCTGAAGGTATTGCAAAGGTGGAAAGCAACAGCACTGGACTTGGTATTTCCTCTGTAGCTGAACTTGGCACTGATTGAAAAATTAGCATGGGACACATTCATCACATTGTCAGTCTCCTAATTGTTTTACAAATATCAACAGTTACCACCTTTTTAGTTGGTAACATGTTTTTCTGATTTTACAAAAAAAAAAAAAAAAAAGCAAATTGAGCAAAGTACGGATTTTAACAAAGGTGACAGTTAATTCAGAGTGTTTCATGCTCAACTTCATTATTCATCCTCTAGGCTCTTCTGATTAGGACTTCTGTAGCAATGAAGATCAGTAAGAATTAAAGCCAAGAATGAGCATAGGTACTATTTCTATGCAGCAGAAAGGAGTGGATGCTTTAAGAGAGCTACTGTGGAATCTCATTCTCATAAGCTCTGGCTTTCACTATAGTAAAAAGGCTGGGGCTGGCAGAAATGGGGTCCCTTATGAAAATGTCACAAAGATGTAGTAAATGCATTGTCTTCTGTAATTTCACCTTCTGGGTTAAATTTGACTAAGTAATGCCTTTGGGAAACATGACTAAGTACATTCAGGTGGATTGTTGGGGTGTAGGTTATATGTGGCATTGTGGCTTATAGATCCTGTTGAGCAAGATTCAGTGGATGCTCTCCAGAAATCTAGACTTCTGCACAGAATGGATTACTATTCCTGCAATAGGGCAAAGATTAATGATTTCCACGGTAACTGTAAGAGTTACTGCAAAAAGCACTTATGTAGATGCTCATAGAATTAGCATGACACATTCATAATAATTTAAACCGTTGTTTGATAGACACACTACTCACCAATAAAAATGGGATTAAAGTGTAAATCAGGGCACATCTTGGTATATTCCTGCTATCTGTAAGCTGGTTTAATTTTCCTAAAAATTTTCCTGACGAAATGAATTTTTCTGTTGCTCACTGCTTAGCTGATGGCCAACCCTAATCGCAGAATGCTTTCATCTTAACCACTCCAGTGATCTCTGATGGAAATCCAGAAACAGATAATTTGATTGAGACAGTCATTATGGAAACTTATAGCCTCACCAGTTACTCCCTGCATCATAACTTCTTATTGAGCAAGTAAGAAATTCACCACACACATGCATTTTTTTCCCCCCTTATCAGTCTGCATCATATGGTGAGGGGATGGAGAATGTTGGCATGTGGGGCTCTCCCCTACAATGGCCACTGAAGAAAATCAGTGAAATAATTTGCATGGATATCAGTTAAGTTACTTCAATTTGAGAACAAAGTAGAACAGGATTAGCATAAAAGAGCCATTGAGTTCCCAAAAAAAAGTTATCAAAAAGGATGCAGTTTTGGTTCTGTGGCTTGTCCCCCAAGAATTTCCCCCTCCAGCTGGCTGATAAAAACGTACAGAAGTTCTGTGAGATGAATTCAAAATGTGGGGTAAAAGCTGGCTGCAAATCTCATGATAACTAGCAAGAACACCCTTGCCAACTGATACAAAACAAGAATGCATACCTCAGTGCAATCCATATTATTTGCTTTACAATGCTTCTGAATAGTGCTTTTCTGACAGCTTGGCATGTTTCAGAGTAATAAGACTGCGTGCAGGAGGAGACAGGTCCGTCTTGCACTGGTGTCTGTCCTGAAAGCATGTTCCCTATGTGTAAAGCTGGCCCTGCTCTTATCAGAACAGCTGCACAACCTTTGAACCTATTCCCCATAGATCCTTTATGTGTGTCTATATGCTCTCCCTTCTTTATATTCCTTATGAGGATAGAAAAAACCCATCACACACTCTGCTTTGTGGCCACATTCTGCTTAGTAAAACCCTATAAGGAATTTTTGGTTATTGCTGATAGCAGCCTAGAGCTGAAGGGAAAGTTTTCAAGAACTGAACAGCACTTTCATTGGCAAAATTCAGAAATGAAGGCCAAGGTGAGAAAAGTTGGTACCTAGAAAGAAGAAAGTAACTGTGGCTTTGTGGGAAGAGCTTATCAATGAAATACAAAAATAATGAAGAAACCTCAGCCATGATTTAAACAACGAGAGAAAAGTTTCTCAGAGATAAATGGATGAATCTCTGCTAGAGAAGCTAGAGATTCAACTAAATGATAATGGATCAATTTTTCAATGAAAATTATTTAATGAAATCTGCTAAGCAACTGTGTCTGATGCAAGGACCTGTACCATATGATACTTCTAACCATCTTTCCAGCTGCTCTTAGTGGTGTTACGACCATTCTCAGCCTTAATTTTCAGCACAGGTTACCGGGAAGCGGTTACATACCAGAGAGTAATACGAAGGTACAAAGAAGAGGACAATTTAATAGCTTTCTTTTTTGAAAAGAGATCAGCATTATGTTTTGACTTGTTTTGTAGGAATATTTAATATTCCTACAAATATAATTTAATACTACATGCACAGTGACAAAGGATTCAAAGCTGCCTGTGACACAAGGAAACTGAAAGGTAAACAAGAAACAGTTGAGAATACAAACTCTCTGACTACATGCTCTGTATCCAGAAGCTGGCCTTGCCTGATTCAAGGGGGCTAGACACGCCCTGCAGCCAAACTCCATCATTTGTACTTCTGGCAACCACTGGAAAAAAAAAGGACCTGACTGTGACCCACCACCATCGTAATTGAAAAGCTGCAGAAACTGGGGGGTTAGAATGTGTTCCTATTTATTCAGGAATCTTCTATTCTGGCAATAGCATCTTTCTCCCTGCATTTTCTGAGGGTTTTATGATTGTGTAAGGTTAATGCACCTTGGCAAGGAATTCTTGTGGTACCACTTCTGGTTTATTTATTTTACCTTAGCTCCCAATAGGTGGTAGAAGATCTAGTCTGTGCTGATATTTTGAAAAACCTGGAAAGCTTTTTGAATACCACTTGAATTTTGTCTATGTTGGTTTTGTGGGAAGGAGTTGGTTAAACAGGAGCTGGATGCATTCAGTTCCTTCTTTCCTCAGAACTGACATCCTCTTCCCCTCTGGAGTCTGCCTGTGCCAGTAATAGCCAGAACAGATCCTCTGGTGTACTCTGGCCCCTTTGTTTGCTGATTTCTATATCTCTACCACTGGGAAAATCAGCTTGATTTTTCACAGCTGCTTTTGGAAAAGTTCTGGATAATTTCACCTTTGTAGGATGAAGGAGCATTAAAGCTCAGATTTCAGGAAGGCTCCTATAGTGCTGCTGCAAGATGGGGAGTCTCAATACCTTAATGTCTCCTACCTGTGGCAAGTTGGCTGACAGGAAGGTAGAAGCTGAAAACTGAGGAGGTGAAAGGCTGGCATGCTGAACCTCTGGCAACTTGCTCTTGTCTGTCATATGTCCTGTTAGCTAAAGGGAAATTCCAGATAAGTGGCATCAAGCCACAAAATTGTGTTTTACCTTTCCTGAAACAGAATTTGTCAGAAGTTCTGACTTGCCTGAAATACTACTTCATTTTCTTCACCCTAAGTTAAAAGGTCTCTTTCTCTTGAATGTTAAAATATCTCAGGGCAGAACTCCCCTTTCCCTCAGATCAGCACTGGTCCTGTTCAACTTTCCCCACTGGAGTCTGACAAAGTTAAAAGAGCTATACAATACTGCAGATTTTTTCCAGAAGTGCTATGAATCTTTAGCAGGCTGTGACACTTGTCAGTGAAGGGCATGGTTCAGGGTCTCAGGAAAACTGATCCTTCCAGTGTCATTACTCAACAGAACTGCTTATAGTTAATACTGCCAAAGGAAGGGAATAGTGCACAACGCATGTGTTCTCTTCTGTGCACGTACACACTTTTAAGTGCACACAGTGTATAATATCTTTCCACTATTCCCATTTGTTCCTTACCACTAATCCTTCAGGAGGTCCTGAGAGAAAAATTAATATATTTTATCTTTAAAATAGGATGAGATAAACAAGTGCTATAGTAGCATTTCAGTTACCTAACTTGTATGCCTGAGGTGGAAAGCACTTAGCTTGAAGAGTATTGGTGGAAAAGATAACTTGCAATACTGTATTTTGAAGTGATTTTGAGTGTTCCTGGTGTTAGCTGTGTGACCCAGCTGGAAAGACTCTCTCCAGAGCAATGCTAGCGGGGCCCAACCTGTCCATGTTATTAAGAATTTTTGCCAGTGGAATATCTCCATCATTATAAATCTTCAGAGGTTAACAAAGCTCAGAGTAGGGGTGGTACATGTATTCGGGGAGGCTGACACAGACAATCTGTTCGTTTCTACGCCAGAGCCTAAGCTTGTGTACTATGTGCTTTCAGCAAAAATTTTTACTTTGTAATGGAAAGCAAATACTGTGTAACAATTCAGTAGTATGGTCCAGACATTCCAGGTTTCATAGCAGGTATCCAAATCACTGAAGCCTAAAAATACAGAACTAGTGAATGTCTGTGCTTCTCTTAGAGACTTGCTCATCTGCAGGTCTGTGATCTGACTCCAGGAATAGGGGAATTAAGCAATACCAAGTTCTGGGAAAACGTGTTATGAGTGTTTGCATCTTGAGAGAAAGTCCAATCTGTTCTTAAGCCTTGAGTCATGTTGCTTTATCTCTATTATCCAGCCTTAATATTCTCCAGGTTGTTCTGTGGGGAAAACGAGCAAGGTACTTGCACTACCACAGGTAGTACTTGTTTTATTTTCACAGCTTTAAAAGGCTTGTGAAATACCACAATGCACCATTGTGTGTGTGAGAAGATCTTTCTTATCACAGGTCATTTTATTTGGCTTTTTAATTGAGTGCTAGACACAATGCCTCTCCTCTTCCTCCATTACTGCTACCCTTTTTAGATTTACAGCATTAGTCTAGTGTGTTCCATGGCAGCTTCATGTCTGCAAAACTTGAGCATTTGCTTTCTGAGGTTGGCTCAGGGGAAATCATGACACTGAAGGTAAAAGTCCAGATAAGTATCAGAGAGTCTGGCCTCAATTTATAGAGGTTTACTGGCAGGCCATTCTTTTTATTTTTTTTTTTTTTCTTCATAGCAAGAGTATCTGCTTCTATACAAAAGCATAATATTAAGATACTGCTTTATTTTTTCAGTGTTGTGGTAGAAGTTCACTGCTCATCAGTATAAACAAAGATGGAGACAAAAGTACCATATAACTCATACTGCCTGTAGGTTTCACTCACTCTTCTTTTCCATTTCCTGAAATCCTGTCTAACTCCTTCTTTGTCACTCCCTTTATCCACCCAATATGAAGAATCTAGCACATTCATTTCCCTCTGGAAGTACCTGACCTTGATGAATCCTTTGGAGGTGGGAGTGGTGGAAGAAATAAGAGAGGAGTTTAAGTTTGCAATCTTGAAGGAATGCAGGAGCTGAGTATGCATTGCTGGTCATTGTCTGTGAGCATTTTGATGAACTTTTCTAACTTTAGCTCCATCTTTTTTTTTTCTGTCTTGAGTATTACTGGCCTCCTTACCTTCACTCACAAGGGCACAGAAGGTATCAGAGAGCACAGAAGAAGAGTGTTCAGTGAGTGTGTTTTCTCATGCTTGCTGCTTTTTAACCCTTTAGGACACTGAGGAGCATCATGAGTTAGCCTCAAAAAGTATCTGGAACAGGGATCTTATGTACCTCATAATATACCTTGAATATTTTTTAAAGTTGCTGGACAGGATCAATGAAAAATTTTTTTCTTCTTACACAATTTTTTTGGATACCTGATAATAGTCAATTTATCTCTTTAAAGTAATACTGTGCGCAGTCCTGATGGTTGATGTCTACTGTAGAGCTGAGCCAGTCCTGTGCAGGAGTTGGCTAATGAAACAAACAGCTACTTCATGCCAAGAAAACAGGCAGGAAGCTAGTTACAATTACGAGCCTCATGGCAAGAGCCAACAGTTTTCAGGAAATACTACTGCCGTGTATTATGCCTTCCACCTGCATTTTTTTTTCTGTTTCCTGCAGCTTGTTAAATATACAACAGTTCTCCTTTTCCTCCCCCAGCACTATACAAATGTTGGAAGATATATTTAGTTCTTGTCAAGTTACAGCAGGCTTTTTATAACCACAAAGTGGTGAAAAAAAAGACCAGCAACACAGCGGAGGCAAATATTTGTAGCACATCATAAACTTTTCTTGTAACCTAAATATTTAGAAAGAAAAAGGTTGTAGGAGGGTGCTGTACTTTGTAAAACACAAAAAAAGATAAGGAACAGCCTCCTAAGTGTACTGACATGTTGGAGAAGTCTTTTTGCTTCTGCAGGAATGAGCAAAAGGACTTATTCCTTTTGTTTAGAAAATGATTGCTGACTGAAGATGATTTAGAAAAGTCAATGTTTAATTTTTCATTAAAAGAAAAAAGTACCCAATCAGTTTGACCTGCACATGGATGACTGAAGTTGAGAAGAATCACCATCACTATCCCCAGTGAAATAAAACCAAATGTTGTCGCACTGGGGACTCATTAGCACCCTGAAAACAGCAATAGCTGGAAGATTTTCCAATAGCTAACACTGATCTAGAAAAGTTTGCAGTGTGGGCTGAGGGACAAGAAGCAAGTTGCACAGTCTGTTGCTGAAAATGGCCTGCTGCCAAAACGCCTCTATATATGCCTAGTATATTTTTAGTTTCTAACTATTCATTTTTAAGCTGTTCTATTCTGAAAATATCTTTACTTCAATTTTTATCATATTTTATGCTATTTCATTCTCAGCTGTTTACTAGGTTTTCCTTTCATGTCCTCTTTATCATGGAATATGGTGTTACTGCTTGGGAGTCATCAGAATAATTAAGGTGGAGATAATCAAGGCTTTGTTTTGAGGCACAACAAACAAATTCTGTGCTGTAATCTGTGAAGCTCAGGAGTTAGACATCAGGAGCCCTGTGGGTTCCTGTTTTAATCTCTTTTCTAGGGACCTTCTCTTGGGGCCTCTGAAATGTTCCTATATTTCATTTCATTGCTCAATTCTTTTAAACTCTGGTTTCAGTAACCACCAAAACCTGGTGATGATTCAGCATGCCAAATAGAATTTGACTTGTGAATTGCCAGGTAGAAACATCATTCACTGTGTGCAGCATGTAGGGAAGGGTGACTGGGTAAAGATGTCATCAAAATGCCGCCAGTCATTCAAAGGCTATGACATATTTGGACATTAAACCAACACATAGTGGAAATACATGCTTCTATTTATTTGGATCATGACCATACTCTTAAAAACATTTGAGTTTGGCAGTATGTCTTTCTCATATGCATTATTACCTTATAAATTACCCTAAAAATTGCCCTTGGTTTTAAATCCAATACCATTATTTTTTAGACTTGGCTAAGAGCCTTCCTGATGGATGAACTTAACGTTGCTGCTATCTGCTGACATACTCATGTTCTCATACCAGATTTATTCTTTTCTTTGCAGATCAGGAAAAATGTGATGATGATGAGATGGAGAGACTTTACAAGTCATTAGAACAAGCAAGCCTGTCTCCCATTGGTGATCGTCGGCTGTCAACAAAGAAGGAACTTAGGAAGTCATTTATTAAACGCAGCAAAAATCCCTCCATTAATGAGAAACTCCACAAAATTCGAATGCTGAACAGCACACTAAAGGTGAGATCACAGAGCTAGCCAAGGAAAAGCCTGAGGCAAAGGAACAGTTTGGCTGAAGAGAAACAATCCTAGACTTCGTCCAAACTCTAATTACATATTTACTTAAAGCCTCAGAGAATTTGGTTAAGTTTTTGAAATTATTTTCTGCTTCATTCGGAATGCTGACCTGTGTTTTGTTGTTCCATTTGAACTGGAAGCAGAGGCAATAGTTCGAGAGGCACATTTCTTGCAGAAGTTCCAGCCCATTTGAAAAATTTAATAAAGAAAGCTTCTCTTAGTTAGCTGAAAACATGCAAGCTCAGCTGAATGCACTAAACAGGGGAGCCTTAAAAAAGGAAGAGCAGGCAAAGTACATTGATGATAAAGAGCATGAAAATGACCCTGAGCCAAAAAAAGTTTTCCTTGTGTGATTATTGGAGAATGTACAGGATGTGCCAAAGCTATTGTAAAGACCTCCTGTAACTAAAATATTTTTAATAACAAAAGCATCCTGCTTTTATGTTGGAAACATCATGAACTGCAGGCGTGGAGGGGTTCAGAGGACGTTCCATGAAAGGGCCAGTAAATCTGTCCGGAATATGGGAATTTATGAGGCTGTTTACTTACCAGCATCAAGTAACATGGGATTTCAAAGCCTGCTTCTGAATTGTACTGAGGGACACGGAAAGCTTTACTATAGCATTTAAAGTGTGAGTAGAAGAAAGAAAAAACACAAACCTGGGGCTTCATTTGTTTCTTTTTGTATGCATGAAAAGAAGAATTAATTATCTTGTTTCAAGTGTGTATAATTGGCTTCAGGCATCTTAACCTGGAGAAACGTGTGTAAAAACTTCTATTGGCACAATCATTGATTTGATTCCTAGTCACAATGGGAGGCTTGGCTTTGGCACCTCAACCTGTGTTAAAATTCCTGCAGTTGAAAAGACAAGTGGGAATATAGGCATTCTTTCTGGCTTTCTGTGAGACCTGGTGAAGTTTCTCCCCAGTATCGAAGTATCTTCAGTAACATGGTACTTACTAGAGCAGTATCCATCTGCATTAACAATAAAGTGATCCCATCATATAACAGAAAGGTAGCTTTAAAAATATGCCTATTTTGTGGGGCAGGAAATTGAGAAGTACAGAAAAAAAAACCCTACTGCAAAGTTTTCCCTGATAGGAATCTCCCTAGTAAATCTAAGAACCAGATAGTAGAAAATGGAGTTACATCTTGTGGGACAATCAATTTCATTAGCATGGAGCTGAATGGAAGGAAGCATTACTGCCAGATATGAGCAAGGACAGCTTTGCATTGATTTAGCACGGGACTACTGTATAAGTTGTGATTAGCAGTGTTTATTACCTTAGGCTTGTCCAACACTTGTATTTAATATGGAAAAATCTCTTTTTGGAGTGTTCATAATGTATAAAATGTGCTGAATTTTTTTTTTTTTTTTACTTCCTTCAGACTAAGAAGTTGGAGTATTGACAAGACAAACATATCACAGACATTTTTCTCAGAGACACAGAGTTCTATACACAGCACTGTTTAAGTTAGCCTGTCTGAAAGACAAATGCTTGCAGTGGGAAAGTGCCATATTCTTTGCATTAGTGGGATTATGCGCTTTTATAGTCAATTATCTTAATGTATAATATGAGATGTGACATAATTGGAAATGATATACTGGAAATCTAAAAATCAGGGAAGTTTTGTGTCTGATTCATATTTACTTTGTTTTAATGAAAACCCTATTAGTTTTAGAAGTGATTTATGCAAGATTTGTCACAATTTTAATTTTGGACTTTTGACTCCACATCTTTAACAGTGGATTAATATTCCTGCTACAGTATATCATTAACAAAACATGCTTTGGATAGTTTGGAAGAGGGAGAAGCTGTGAGCAAATGTATCACAGGCGTAATGAATGTGGGAAATAGATTTAGTGGTACAGGAAGAATTCCATGGCATGGCTTTTTGCCACCAAGTATGTCCACTGGAAATACTCTTCTTTCACTTCTACCTCCTTACCTCCTCTTCTTCTCTTAGGCTAACTGTGAATATCTCTGCATCAATGCTAGAGGCCTTCTTACAAGGGCTGGCACTAGGTCTTGAGGGTAGGACCTGTGTTAACCAACAACTGAACAAGCATTTGTGGTTAAAAAGTGTCTCAGGCATCACAGGGATTAGAGCAGTTGATAGTTCATTGGAGTAGTAGTGGGATATGGGTGTGTAAGCAGCCGACTGCTACTATTGGGAAGTGTTGTGAATGTGGGGGAGTATTTTCAAGGTGTTTTCAAGGCAGCCACTAGCATGGAGTGTCCTCAGGCATGATGAAACTGATGGCAGCAGAAGATGGTTAGAACTGTTACAGTTGCTTTCATGCATTAGACTGACAGGGATGGGAGGAGCCAGTAAAGGTTTGTTAGTCCAGCATGGTCTCTCCATTAAGAAATTGTAGCTGCTAACTAGGGTTTCTCTGTTTTCTGGTCATGGATGGGCAATACGAGCTAGAAAACCAAAGTGGTTCATTGTGTCAGAAAATGTGAGGACATCGGTGAATATAAATATCTGAAGGGTGAGTAGATAGAGGATGGAGCCAGGCTCTTTTCAGTGTTGTCCAGAGGCAATGGGCACAAACTGAAACACAGGAGGTTCCCTCTGAACATCAGAAAACACTTTTTTTGCTGTTACGGTGACTCAGCGCTGGCATAGGTTGCCCAGAAAGGTTGTGGAGCCTCCATCCTTGGAGACACTCAAAAGCTATCTGGACATGGTCCTGGGCAGCCAGCTCTAGGTGGGTCTGTTTTGAGGAAGGGGTTTGGACCAGATGACCTCCAGAGGTCCCTTCTAACCTTGACCATTCTGTAATTCTGTGACATAAAGGATCTCAGTGTCTCTATACCAGTAACTGTTCATTTTACAATTGAACCAGGGTGCCTGCAACATACAGTCTGAGCTGCTCTTGTCTAAAAATAGAGACTAGGTTTGTTAGCAGTAGTCGCTAGTGGATGTGGTAGCAGCCATGTGTGCTCTAGCCACTCTTCTGCTAGTGCATGCATTATTTCCAAAATGATTTTCTCTCTTACTCCCAGAGAAGAGACATTTATAATGTGGCCAGGGAATAAGTATTTTTTGAGAAAGCTGGAACTGGTGTGAATTACAGAAATAAAAGCTATTATGCCCAGTTTCATGCAAGTACTAACTTGTTGTAAGACAGCATAACGATGTTTGATTTTCACATGAGTCCTCTCTTATGAAGTTTTGCTAAGAACCCTATTAAAAAAAAACAAAAAACCTACATTAAATCATAATCTTGCCTTCAGATGGGATGGATTTCTGCTATGGACTTAACTTTGATAATCTGTGTTTTGAAAAGGGGAACAAGTTGCTGGGAGGGTGGATAATTTTCCATCTTCTTGTGATGTGGTTCTCTCATGTTCCCAGAGTGTTGTTATGGAAAATAAGCTTGACAGTTTCTGTTGTAAACAACCATTCTTTTTCTTCCTAGTGTAAGGAACATGACCTGGCCACAATTAACCAGTTGCTAGAGGACCCAAAGTTGACGGCAATGAAGTACAGAGAGTGGAGGAACACAAACATCATGCTGGTCCAAGATATTTATCAGCAGCAGGAGGTCCAGGATGTGTCCACAGAGAATAGTGAGGAGCAAGAGGTGACTCCACAGCCCATTGCTGAAAGTGCTATCTGAGGCTGTAGTTCAATGGTTCACGGCAAAATTTTTCCCCATGGGTCTTCATGTACAGGCACTTTAAACTGCTGCATTTTGAGGTTTGTTTTTTCTAAGTGTTCTTCGAAAGGAAAATAACCCCTTCTCCAAAGCTTTAATTCCTCTTGCAAAACTCTTCTCAAAAGGGCAAATCTCTCAAGTTAAAAAAGCATGCCTGAACCTGAGCTGCATACCTAAGAAGATTATTTTATGAAGCAGCAAAGAAATGTTTTTCCTTCTTTGGAGAAGTAAATACGTCCAGCTCCTGGAAATCACAGAACTGTACAATGTGTACTGTGTAAATGTGAGATCCTTGCGGTTGTTTTAACCATATAACTTACCTTTAAAGGAAGCTAAACCAATGCCAACAGGATGTAGTCTACTCTCTACCTTTTTATCCTGTAAGGTAACTTGATGTATGCATTTTCATCTCTACATTCACTTTCACCGTTCTACCAGTTTAAACTGAGACAAATAAAATAGTGATTATGCATGAGTTTGTATTACAGACAGCTGTCAGGCACCCAGTTTGTGCTCTGCCTGACATTTTATGAGCTTCTTAAGGACCAGACCAAGGTACTGTCTTTCTACATGAAGAAAAGGTGTCTCAGTGTTTTCTAACAAGTAAATTTACTCTTCAGTGGGGCAGCTAATGCTTCAACAAGTTTCAATGTTTTTTACGGACTTGGCTGAACCCCTTGGAAAGTTATTTTCTTTCTTATTTTTGACAACTGTGAGAATATAAGGTACAAGTTCATCCCAGTTTCCTACTTAGGAAGATGATCGAGTTCACAAGGCAGAAGCTAAATAATGAGATTCCCAATGTGGACATGGAAGTGGAAAGCACAGCTGCAAATATTTTTGTAAATATATGCCATTTTATGGCATATATGAATGTATGTACTGTATATATGTTTTATTTATATATTTATATATGCTAAACTTCCTAATGTAGATAGGCACATATGGACCAGACCCACAGAAATGAGAGTGCTTACAAGTTGACTTCAAATGCCTTTGGTTTTTGTTTCATTATGAATCACAGTGATGGCTCTACAACTGAGAGAACTCTGGAACATCTGCTGTAAATTTTTCTTCTGTCTTTCTAGGTTTGAGTTTTAAATGAAGAAAATCTGTACAGCTTAGGGCAGGAAAATAAGTTTTCTGGAAGGTTTCATGATTTCCCCTTGGGGAAAAAAATAAGTATGTGAAGAGGTTTTGCTGCAAGATCATAACTGTTTGGCTTCATTGTCCTCAGTACAAGGTTTGTTTTTTTTTGCCTTCCCATCTTCTGCATGTGTACAAGTATGAAGAATTTGCAGCGTGATGAATTTTGAAAAGCAAGAATTAGCCCATTGTTCTCAAATTAATGCTGCTACAGGAACTGTGGCAACTGCATTTCTGTTGGCTGTTTCATAAGATAGTCTTTGTCATTAGTTTTCAACACAGTTTATCTTTTAAAGCAAAATACACTATGCAGATGCAGCCATAATCACCTGTCTTTATACATTATGTTTTATCATAGCTTGACTGAAAAAACAAGTTAATAGTATTAGTGTGAACATGTGAAATTTTTTCCACCTGAGTACTGAATATCAATTGACTGTTGGTATTACATTTTTGACACTCAGCAGCTTTCTTTTTGAAACAAGAGGTAAGGAATTATGTCCTGATGCGTCAAAACACGGCAGTTAAGGCTGCGTTGACTGTGAGAACTGAGGAGTAGACGGTAAGCTATAAGAAAGGACAAACAGAAGGAAGAATGTAGGTTCCTGTGACACAGGCTTCTATGCAAGACCATCAGGGGAAATGGGGGCTAGTTGAATGCAGAAGCAGGGCTATGCTTGGCGTAACATCACTGCCTCAAGTATCAAAGGATTTAGGAGTGTGGGGGTAAGGACACATACTGGATCAGTACTTAATACTTGGAGCTAGTCTGCTGGTGGGGAACAAATGTTAGCTGAGACCTGGAAGCAGGTGACAATGACTCAATGAAGAAGCAGACTCAAAGTCAAGGTTTGTTAAGAAGTTGTTTTCAGGAAATCATATTAGTGGTGATTTCATCACTGAAACAATTGTATAAATTGATAGAAATTAAGCAAGTTCAATACCTGCTGCAATTTAGAGTAATCTCACCTTAAAAATGGAGACAATTTTAATTTTTTTTAAATTTTTTTTTAAAATTAATTTTAATCTTTCACCTTTCCTGGAAGACCCTCTGGACAGTGGACAACTGGGAGTGTCCTGCCAAAATTCTTCAAAGCAGATATATAGGTAGGAGAGGGATAGCCCCTGAGGTTGACATGATGTCAACTAACCATCAAGAGCACATTGAAAATTAGGAATGTAGGGATTAATTTTCTTGGTCCATCTTAATTTTAACTACCTGGTGCTAAATAATTGATAAATATTTAATGGAAGTCAAATCGCATGTGTGTTTTCTCTCGCAAGTGTGATTTTTTCACAAATCAAGACATGTAAACACCATTTTTCTTCAAAAACCTCTTCACTTGGATCTTAAAAAGAAACAGACACTTAAGTTGCTTAACTGATACTTAATTGGCCCAGATGTGTCAGTGTCTTGCAGTTCTGAGCAAAGTCCAAGTCAATTCTGTTTGCTGAAGTAGATTTGTTCTATACAAAGGAAAGCACTGTATGGCCTGCAGGTTTTGGAAACCTGCTGTATCACCCTCTTAGAAAAGAGCAGAAAATTCTTGAATGGTGTTAGTTTAATGCAATTAATATTTTAACAAATTTGTATTTGTTCAAGAAAAAAAATGTATGCGTTTTATCCAAGTGCAGTGCTTTGAGTTTATCTCCATTCTCTTTCACTACTATTTAGACCTCCAACAAATGGAAAGTGGGGGAAATGTGAAATGAAAAGTGTAATAAAACAGGATTCGTCTTCTACTGTTGCTAGCAAATTGACATTTTTCACCTGATGCTGGGTTCAAAGGGCTGTGCAGCAACATGGAAGCCACATCTGGAGAAAAAAGTATGCTCAAGCCAACAGTTACAACTCATGGATGCAGCGGGCTGCCACCTGGGCATGAGAAACTTGGACAACTCTGTGCTCCATTCAGAGACACTTGGGGTAGAGGGCATCTGTTGGTCTGAATTTGGAAGGCCTGCACTATTGACTCATAGCTTAGGGAAACTGTTCCCCTCTAGAGAATGTTCAAAAGTCTCTAACTCTCTGCCTCATGGGACTTGTTTTATGTACTTTTTCAGTAGAAAGTGTGTGTTCATGGAGGCCTGCACATGCACAATTATTTCTTTGTCAGTAAAGCCTTTTAGTATTGGTGCATTAAGTCCAGCTATGAAGTAATTAATAACAATATCTAATTTCAGCTATTTCTGCAGCCCCTCTCTGGTGGCTTTTCTGGATATTGAATCTCTCTGTTTTGTGGTCTAGATCTCACAAGCTACTAGAATGAGGTGGGATCACGTTTCCTTTCCTTAGATGGGAGAGGTTTCATGTGAGGACTGTGAAACATTTCTGCAACTATTTCTGATGATTTACTCAATACTGGGTTTCATCTGAAACAGGATTAAACAGGAATAAATGATGTGCTACAACCTTTTTTTTTCCAAAAATTTTCTTTTTGGAGGAAATCATATTGAGAGAAAATGCTGTTTTGGGGCAGCCAAGGAGGGAGAGAAATGAAAGAGGTGGTATTTGATTGAAAACTATGTAGAATTTCAGAATTTAAAATTATTTCTAGCTAGAAAAAATTATGGGCATACTGCATCTATTGTATGAACCTGTAAGCTTAAATGTCTATAACAGATTGAGTACAAAAATGTCTATTTTTTTAAGTCTTAAAGTGGCAAGCGAGTTTAGGTAAACATAGTTCTATATGGGGAACTCCATGTACTGTTGTTAAAGTTTGGGATTTGGGCTTTTTTTTTGTTTTGTTTTGCTTGGTTGGTGGCACAAAAGTGACCAATTGCCATGAGGGCCTGGGCTTACTTCATTTGTATGAGACGTGTCTTTCTGTTAACAGGAAGCCAAAGTGGTTTTCTTGTAGTAGTAAAGCCAAAGTGATATTTCCTGTTTTGTGTGGGCCATTTTGAAGTAGCAGACATTTTAAGATGTTACTCAGCATTTCCTTGACAACTTGGAGATTTATCCTGTTTTGGTCTGATTCAATTTCTTGCATTTTTAAGAACTGGCTTCATTATTAACTGAAACAAAAATTGAGGTGGAAAAAAAAAAGGAAAAGCAAAAACAGAACAGAAAAGCTCTGAGCTGAGATGAGGCTGTACATAAGGGTAATGGGAGCAAAGCTTGCCAAAAGCAAGGCATTTCAATACTGAAAGAAGGTTGTCAGGTGCTGAGGAGAGTACTACGTTCCTTGAAATTTGTTATCGGAGAAGTTCCAAGACCTGTCTGCTCTGGAAAAATGAATATTTTTCTAATTTATTTCCTCCTGGTAAAAATCCAAAGGGAGTGATTTATAAACTGGCAGAAACTTAAAAATAAAATATGTGTATTATGCATTCCTAGTTATCAATATCGATGTATTACCTTGAAATGATTGACTTGAACTACTCAGGCTTTAATGTAGAAAATCCATTTATTTGGGAAACAATTGTAGCTACCACAGTATCTGAGGCTTAGGTACCCCCTCTGGCCCCCAAGAGGTCTGTTTGGAGGATGTAGGTGTATGGCGTTGCTATAGGGCAAAGAGCTCACACCATCATACCATAGTTTGGAAACCATGTGAATTTTAACACCTGTCCTAGATGCCTTAGGACCTATTCAATTTATTCTGACTCTTAAAGTTGTTTATGGCAGTTTTACTTTCTCCTACCTAAAATTAAAGAAAAGAAGGTATGAAAATATCTCCCACTCTCATATGAAAAGAAACTAGCACTAGTCTAGCAAAGATCCAGGTAAGTAACTTTATTTATGAATGTTTGGCTAAATAAGGCCCCATCCCTGGGGTTCTTTAA